TATTCAAGTCTGTCAGAGAGAGGATACCAACATCACACAGTGAACCACAGCATTAGTTTTGTTAATCCATCATCAGGAGTACATACACAAAACACTGAAAGGGCATGGGCAAACTACAAAAGGTATGGAGATGGAGATGGTATGGAAACCGGACAGAAAAGTCTCTCAAAAACCATCTAATTTATATAGAATAGACTTATTGGTTGGGCAGGAAACACAAACAAGAGATTATTGGAAGGCTTACACATGACATCAGTCAGTTCTACCACTGACGTGTGTGTGTATAGTATATGCTTTTATATATATATATATATATATATATATATATATATATATATATATATATATATATATATATATATATATATATAATTAATATTAATATTTATTGTCTAATGTTTATGTACAAGTTTTTTTTTTAACTTGTGCCTCTCTACAACTTTATCCTAAAGGTCTTTTGAAAGCAGGGTGCAATGTGAGTATGTATGATTTTATATAGGCACTTTGAATATATAAACAGGGATTTATGACAGTTTCTTTTATTTTTTTTCTCTATCATGTCAGTTGAAATATCAATTTACATTTCCAAAAATTATTTTTGTCATTAATTGTAATTCTACAGTGAAATTATTGTCTGCACAAGAAGTCTGACAAAAGGCGGTGCAAACTGAACAGAACAAACTGAGACATACAACTGTACATTCAGAAGAACTTTGGCAACATCTCCAAGATGCTTCAAATACCTACCTGCAAAGCTACAGTACTGTTCAGTTTTAGGCACTTGTGCAAGCTAGCTGTAAAATGAGGATGCGATCAAAAATAATGCATACACGCTTTTTATTTATCAATTAACTTATATTAACTAAATCAAATGAATTATTGGTATGACCACACTTTGCATTTAAAACATTTGGTCCATTTGCAAACTAATGACTCTGGTATTTATTTTTATGTTCTTGTATATGTGGTGCTGTTGTGTCTTTGTCTTCAAATACTTGCATCAGTGTTGCTACTACCAGTCTGTTGACTATCTGCTGAACGTTTACTTGCTAGTAGCCATGCTGTCTGATGTTGGCGTCTTCAACAGCATTTCTGAAGCATCACTTAATTTTGATGGGCCTAGTGTGACAACAGATGAGCAGATAACTGTACTTTCAAGTAAAATAACTATCTACTGAAAGTTAAGTTAAATGCAACAAATAGTTAATTGAACACTCTTGCAAATACTTGTATGAAGATTGTACCAAACCCTATTTTATATTTGATTAAAGTTCATTTTAAATTATGTTGTGTTGCTACTTATAGGCATGTGAATGTCTACTGAAAGCCTATTGATAAACTGGTTAACAACTACACGCAGACAATTACAACCAAAACAATCTTGGTGCTAAATGTATTGAAAACTTGTTGAAGATTTGTAGCATATCTACTAATACATTGTTAAACATATACAACCTAATTTGGGAACACAACTTACCAAAGTTTTAATAAATAATTAGGATTTGTTGCAAATCTACTAATACACTGTTGAACATATACAACCTAATTTGGTAACGTAACTTACCAAAGGTTTAATAAATGTTGAGGATTTGTTGCATATTTACTAATACACTGTTGAACATATACAACCTAATTTGGTAACATGTAACTTACCAAAGGTTTAATAAATGTTGAGGATTTGTTGCATATCTACTCATACTTTGATGAACATTTGTTGAAGATTTGTTGCATGTATACTGTAACATTGTTGAATATCTACAACCTAAATGTTGATAGTTTGTTGCATGTCTACTAAAACATTGCTGACCATCTAGAACCTATGTTGGTAACACTTAACTTACCAAAACTTTATTAAATGTTTACATGTTGTAGACATTGTAATGATTGACAGAAAATTTAAAAGACAATCTACAGATACTACCCAGATGAGAGTAAAGAAATAAGAACTTGAAAAGTAACATATGGTCAACAGACTATCTAAAGGGGGACCATCAAAATAAAGTGTTACCCAATCATAAGCCAATTTTTCATTTACAGTAAGTCTTTTCATCTGTTTACCTGGACTGACAACCAGGTAAGACATTGACAACCTTGTTTCTGAGGGTAAGCTGCTTTCCTATTCCCCAGTTCTGTTTTAACCTCTTTGAAACATGAACCATTTATATATGGTCAAATAAATACAGATTAAATGGGAAAATGATTCACATCACCTGACAAAAGCAAATAGAAGTTTGAGAGGAGAGAATCAAAAGCCAAAATCAAATTCAAATACTAAATATAAGTGCATGTGAGCCATCATTTGAACTGTCCAGATGGTTATTATCTGGTTTGTTTTCCAAGGTTGCTGATTCTCCAGTATTCCTGTAAGTAACTCATCAAACACATCACAGTCTTTATTTACAGGTCCTCGCTGCCAGTCTTAAAGGGGTGGTCCAGAATGTAATTTTAAGGCTTGGTTGTGTTAATAAGATGCAAAGCAATGTGTGCTAATGTTTCACTTGAAGGTAATCATATATTTTTTCATAAATTTCACTTTGATTATTTACAGCTACTCAGCTAAAATGAAACAACTGATATATTTCCTAGTTACTCTAAAAGGCCCGCCCTTGAGTGATTCTGATTGGTCATGTGTCAATGTGCTGTGATTCGCAGATTGGCTCCACGTCCTGCCCGTACAAGCACTCGCATTTTGTGAAAACAGTCAGTTAACCTCATGCCCACTCTCTAAAATAACATCTGACAAGTGTCTGTAACGAGTGAAAATGGGGTACTGCTCCTTTAAGAGAGTGTGTGTTTATGCATGTGCATGTGTAACCCCACCGCTCCTACACCACCCAACCCACTCCGAGCTGGGATCGTACTGGTGACCTTCCGCATGGGAGTCAGTTGCTCTACCAAGGAGGCTTAAGACCATGGCCTCTAGCATCTGTCGCTAGAGCACCTTTAGAGGTCAGAGGAGTGAGGTTTACCTGCACAGCACATACTAGCTGGCCTCCGTTACACTCAGCCTCCTAAACCTCATTCCCATCCGGGACACCGCACCAATGTAACCCCACCAGTCCTACACTACCCAACCCGCTCCGAGATGGGATCAAATCAGCGACCTTCTGCATTGGAGTTGGTTGCTCTACCAAGGAGGCTAAAGACCATGGCCTCTAGCATCAGTCACTAGAGCACCTTTAGAGGTCAGAGGAGTGAGGTTTACCTGCACAGCACACACTAGCTGGCCTCCGTTTCACGTGTATACTATGAACTGTAACACAAGAAGCGCATGTGTGCGCGACCGATCTTTATTTTCTTTTTCTCTGATGCTCAGATTATTTTATTTTCTGTAATTTTCAGTGACACTGACAGGAGAATAAAGCACAAGGTGTGGGATGCGACCTGTGTGTGCCTTGATTTATTTTTCTGCTGCTTGATTTATTTTACAGCACTGCTGTATTTTTTTTTTAACATGTGTAAGTAACATGAATCGTTCACATATATTTTGCGAGTTCAGTATCTTAGATGTAAAACACATGGAAAAGCTGCCTATAGACACTGCAGTCGCATACACATAGAGAGACACCCACGCGCTGTTAAAGTTTGTGTGTGTGTGTTTACAGCAGTTTGACTAATAAATTTGAATTTGCTGCTAAATGGTTAGCGGTGGCGAACAGCATTTCCCGTTGTTTACATCTTTGCTACAGCATACCATTAAGGCTAGACACTGTCCATGTCATAATCAATTTTAACAAATAAAAACACTTACAGCTTGTGGCTCAGAATTCATACCATCAGCTTGTTGTAGCTGGTCCATCTTTGAGGAGATTTTAACTGAATCCAGCACTGAACTAGGAGAGATTCTGGAAGCTGTGTTTTTTCAAATCATGCTTGCTATGTATTTTATAATTCTCTGGAACATAATTAATATTGAACTGTAAGCACTTCTGTCTCTGTGTCGTGTCCTTTTGAAGCCCAAATACAGAAACAGAGAAGCTCTGTGGAAATAGCAGGAGGGCATTTCTCCTTTTGCTGTAACATTACAGCGCCTCTGGCCACGGCCCTTAGCTTGGCAGTGTGTGTGCACGGTAAACGTATGTTTGTGATCTCACAAGGCCCGGAAGTATTTTTTTGTAGTTTCCAAAATTTGTTCATTTTAGGCTTTGCCAAGCCTCTGTAAAAACCAAGGTCTCCCTTTGCATTGAACTTTGAGCATTTTAAATGTAGAGATGCCGTTTATGTTAACACAGCTACATTACACATCAACTAAAGTTTAAAATATGATATCATAGTGGACCACCCCTTTAAACCCTTCACTTCGAGCGTCAGCAAGTTTTTTTTTTTTTGAGGTTCAATTAGATTTTTTTTTTCCACAACACCTGCATTAAATACCACAGTGATTTTAAAAGGCCATAATAAACCTAATGACTCTTACCTAAAGTTGTTGAATTGTTCTTGTAGATGTGTGTTCATTTGCATTAAATTCATTACAAATAGATGTCCAGGCATTCCTTATCTTTGATTCAACAGTTAATGTGTGCAGTTTATCTTCAAATACAGGATGTGTCGAAATTATTTGCTATAAAGGACTTTTCTCATGTTCAGTAAAGTTCTTTGATCGTACTCTCTATTCAACATCCATTGCCATTTGCCTCTCAGTTGCATACAATTTTAACCTTTTCTTGGTTCATTCCATGTTTTATAGGCAACCTCAATCCAGCTAATCCTGATTTGCACAGGTGGTATTAAATTATTGAGTGTATTTTAGTTGAGGACTCTATTATCCAGGTTATAGTAATTTGTACTTAATCTGTGTTTCAGAAAGCCATATTTTAAAACATGATTAACTATTCTAGATTAAAATCACTCCTGTCCTAATTTAATCTTGGTCTGTGAAACCACCCCTACATGACCTAAGACTGATTAAAACATTTGTTTAAAGCATACGGTGAACTAAAAAACAACCCATAGCCAAAAAACAACAGGTTCTTCAATGTGACATTAATGAAAAGTCAGTATTACAATTACCAAGACAAGCTTTAATGTGAAAGAAGTATAGAAAAGTGACATATCAGGTGTCAGAACAGATGACCATAGTTAAATTAATGCAGTAATGTAGTAGGCTATAGGTAACAAATCACTAAGCATACATGTATCTGAGAAAAAATAATTCACAATTGCTAAATAACTTCAGTTCAAAGATGCCAGTTCCTGAACTCACTATATTTGACAGAGATTTGAAATCTTTAATTGTGTATTTGGTCATATCAATATCTTTATAAGCAGTAAAGTTTTATTGTAAGGATTAAAGGTCTTTCAAAAAACATTCAAATATATAATGTTTTAGAATAATCAAAGTGAGATATTTTGATTAGAAATTACACTAAACGGTAGACAATAGACATTATGTTTTTTTAGGAGTTGCAAGAATGTTTATTTTATCAGGTTAATAATATATTTAAACCTTTAATGCATACACTACTGTATGTGATATGATATCATTTCTATATCTGAAACTGAAATGTGTCAGTGTTTGTTTAGTGTGTGGTCAGTGAATGTATATCTGCGTCAGAGCCAAAAAGCTCTTTGTATAGTGGAGGGAAAAGGGAATGAACAGTGAGAGGGTAAAGCTGCCGGAACCATTGCAGTTTCTCAATATGCAGTGCACACATAGACCTCAACACCGGCACTCTCTGATACAGCTGCAATCACACAAAAACAAAATTACCAGTTAAAAGCCATTCCAGCTGATTTAAGTTTTCACTTTATGCATATCTTTGTCTCAGTTCCATCTACATCCTCTTTTACCTTCTGCAGTAGACTCTCTTGATTATCTCTGTGCAGTATGTGTCTAAGGGCAAGCTCAACTTCTGTCCTTACTCTCTGAACTCTTTCCCTGTCCTCCAGACATGGTCGATCTATTGAAAAATGCAGAGAATAAAAAGAGAGTTAGTCTATCCTAATTTAAAATAAAACAATTATGTAGTAATGTGGCTTATTTTACTTACCTGGATTGATTAGGATCATTGCTGTAAACACCGCCATCTGCTGTTCATTCAGTCTCAGTGCACACAGATTGTTAGCGAATTCAAAAACTGCAGCTATTAGATCGCTACATGCTGCAGAAAAAAATAATAAAACCAATTAGAAACACAATGAGTTGAACCATGCTGATTTTATTTTGGGTAGATTGCAAAAAATTGTGCTTAATTGTACTGAAAGTGCACTTTAAATCCTAAAAGTATAATTTAAAAAATGTACTAGAAATTTCTTAAAATAAAAAAAAATACACTCATGTACTAAATACACTTATGTACACTTTTAAAAGGACAGTTTATAAGAATGTCAATTCATTCATTTTCTTTTTGGCTTAGTCCCTTTATAAATCCGAGGTCGCCACAGCAGAATGAACCGCCAACTTATCCAGCACATTTTTACACAGCAGATGCCCTTCCAGCCCCAACCCATCTCCAGGAAACATCTACACACACTCATTCACACTCATGCACTACGGACAATTTAGCCTACCAAATTCAACTGTACCGCAGGTCTTTGGACTGTGGGGGAAACTGGAGCACCCGGAGGAAACCCACCCGAACATAGGGAGAACAAGCAAACTCCCCATAGAATTACCACCTGACCCAGCCAAGGCTCAAACCAGCAACCTTTTTGCTGTGAAGCGACAGCACTACCTACTGTGCCACTGTGTCACCCTTTTTGTGGATATATATGATGCAAAACAATGTTTCTCAGAGCTTTAAAGGGTTAGTTAATTCAAAATAAAATTTTGTTATTAATTACTCACCTTCATGTCATTCCAATCCCCCATGATCTTTGTTAATTTTAGAAATACAAATTCCTTATTCTCCATAGACAGCAATGATCCAGGGAGGTTTAAAGTCCAGAAAATGAAACAAAAAATGTAGTCAAAAAATTCCATGTGACTTCAGTGATTCAACTGTAATCATATGCCGCTCAAAGAATAAGTTTGTGTGCTTAAAAAATGTAAAAATGACTTTGTTCACTTACGTCTTCTGTGTCAGATAAAGTGCAAGTTTACTATGGGCAATGGGACACTGTTGCCCATAGTGTGTTGCCCATAGTAAACCGGCACCCTGACTTGATGCTGGAGAGAAGACAATTACAAACAATGTGGTTTTTACAGTTTTTTGGTACAAAACAGAAACTGATAAACAAAGTTTTTTTTTTTTTTTTTTATTCTGCACAAACACTTATTCTTGGAACCTCTTATGATAACAATTACAACAAGCTAGTTGCATGGAATTTTTTGGCAATGTTTTTGGTTCCTTTTCTGCACTTTGAATGCTGTGACTATTGCTGTCTATGGAGAGATAGTTCTTAGATTTCATCCAAATATCTTAATTTGTGCTGTGAAGTTGTGAATAAACACAGGTGTCAGGGGATTGGATTTACATGAGTGTGAGTAATTTATTCTAGTGTAGAGAATCAACGGATCCTTCCAGAACTGATCTAGTGACAAACCATATTTTCCTTATTGGTGCCTACATGTCTAAGCTTTGATTTCATTTTTAAAGCAATCCACAAAGCACCCAGCAAAAGGTAATCCACAGGATGACTTGCTAGTTGATCACAAATGCTCGCTAATTAACTTAACCTTCAAACAATAAAAGAGGCTCTAAACTCAACGACCTCTCAAACAGGGATCGCTCAACAAGCCTTTTCGGTTCGCGCCTGCAAACCGCATCTGTGAGAAGAATACACATTTCTCAGGCAGACAAAGAAGCGATAAAAAAAAAAAACATCAAAAGTTAAATGGACATTCAGTAAAACTGTGTTTATTTGAGTAATATATGCTTGTTTTAAAGAGCCTTATTTATGGGTTTTTGAAAATGACCTTCCGTGTAGTGTGTAACAGCTCTGAGTGAAGTGAAATATCCAGCTAAGGCTTAAACCTGTAAGTGTAGTGTTTAAAACTGTTGATTTATCTATAAAAGAGTCGACTCATAGTGCTTCAAATGAGTCGTCTTGATAACGACTCATTAGGTGTTTCGCGGTGACGCAGCTACGAAACACAAGCCCCACCCAGTAGTTGTGTGAGCAAACTCTGGAGATTTGAAACTTGCGGCCCCACCCACTAACACTGAAAAAAAGGCTAGACACACAGACGCCGGTTGAATGAAGTCACGCTGTGCTCAGCTGGATATTATTGAAAGTCTCTACACAAAGATGAAACTATAAAGAGTCAGTGGTTGTGGCTTATTTTTGCAAAAATACCTCAGCATTATAGCCTAGCCTTGTGCAGTTTGAGTGCTCCTTGAAACTACATGCTTACAAAGAAGAATTCATCTGCCATTTGTTAAAGGAAGGATCAGAAAAGACTACTGATGGACGATGTCAGAACATAGATCAGTGCATCATGGATCATGGTTTCTTCCTCCATTTCACAAGTGTAAGTATATGAGATTAAAATTGTTGCTTCGTTTACTCTAGCTTGCAAATTATGTATTAAGTTATGTTTTGTTACTTATAACCATGTGTGTGAAAAAAAAGCAGGAACAGTGTGACGGGCTAGGAGACTCTTGTTGATATCCTCCCCAGTTCTTGGAGTTTTTGCTCAATAAAATAGTTAGTCGTCTGTAATCTCAAGTCTATCGTCTGTATTTACATTCACCCACTGGCAGCCAAAATCCTCGCCTTACACTATGAAGCGTGTATGCACCGTGACTCCTTTTATATTGTTGATTAGCTGCTGGGTATTTTATGTCTTGCGCTGAAGGTTGTCAATGTCGACCAGTCGCAGCAGGCTGTGATCGGTCCAATCAGCGCAGATTAGCTTCTCGCTAAGGAGGGGTTTGGGACTAAATGAATCGCTGGACGATTCATATGGGAGTCGCTGGTATAATTAGGTAAAAAATAAATGCATATTATAAGACCATGTAAGTGTTTTTGACCTTGCATGCATTTTAGACTGTTGTTGGAGACCCTTACAACCAAAATATGACCCTATTTCAAATATGACCCTATAATAGGGGCTCTTTAAGTTTCTGTAGGTTTTAATGTGTACATGTTCCAGGTATTTAACATAACTGTCATGGATCGTTAATGAGTTATAGCCATTAGCGGTGGATGAAATCTACAGAATGTTTGTGAAATATTTTTTATGTTTGGTAATGATTGGAAGCTAGGAAAGATTTAAAAGGCATCTATGATGAAAATCCTCTTTTGTAAGCTGTTTGTGCTGAACTGTGTGTAGGTATATTGTGTAAACTGTCATTTTGGAGAAATAGAAATATAAGTCTCTTTTTTATTTCCTGATGCTAAAATAGGATCCAAATTCTCCCATTTTAAGGCAAACTACAACTTGACATAGGATTGCGGTTTCCCCACCCACCAAATTGATTGACATGTATTAACATGTCTCCGTAGTAACGTGCATAATCATATCAACAAGACAGGTTGTGCTTAACCCTCTGGGGTCGAAGACCGATTATACGCGTTTTGACCTGTTGTGTCGTCAAATTGCTAAAATAAACTTAAATTACACTTTCAGTTTTGATCGTACAGATAAGATCAATACATCAATCGAATCTGTTATGTGTCTACTTCTTGTTGTGTACACTCACAACAACAACAAACGTGTGTGCTTTTGCAAAATAAGGAAAACAAACAGTGTAGGCATTCTGTCTTTTCTCTCTCCGTGAACTGCTTATAGAAACGCGTCAGTAAAATGCGCTGAAACTCCGCGAATACAAAACGCACACAAATGAGACATGTATTTCTAGAAAGCTTAAAGTGTCTACTTTTAAACGCAGCTATGCATGTTGAAAACAAACATTGCTTGATAAATAATCAGTATGAAATCAACGCTATGTCTAGTTTCTCAGTCTGATCTCATTAGTTTTAATGCGACCACGCCCACGAGGCATTGTTATTACAAGCATCTGAAGACGCGAGCAGACGGTGGTCAGAAAAACACATCACTAAAATGAAAGGAAACTCAGCAAATAGTCAACAAAGATTATGATTTCTGATATCTATATAAAGCTTGATATGTCTACTTTTGCATTAACCAATTCAAGTCGAAAACAAATTATCTCTTTTTATGTAATCCGTATAAAAGTAAGGACTGTACGGATTCTCCTATATCGCCTCATTACAGCAGCGTGGTCCCGCCTCTCAGTAAGCGCGCTTCATATGTAAATCCAGATGTGAAACAACAGAGGTAAAGGACCAGTGGCAAAGAGAGCTAAAGTAGACAAGAATTGCTCTGAGTTTGGTCAGTATAATGCGAGTAATGATGGTCTTTGTAACTGATTAGTAAAGTGCCATTTAGGCTATTTGTTAAGTAAAATGTAACATTTAATTGTTATTATTATACGGTTTCAAGCAGTTAAAGTCAAAGTTATTTAATATTTAACTATAATATTTATAAACAGTTATGTGTTGTTTTATTAATGAAAGTTCAAAAATAAACACGTACGTTTATATGGATGTTTTATTTATTATTATTTAATTAAGTTAAGTTATTCCTTAATTTTTACATAAAAGGTCAATTAACTTAGGTAGGCTACTTTATTTGTTAATGTACGAGATCGAGGAACATGTTTGCCAGTAAATAATGTTCTCACCACTTTAAAAAACTAAATAGATAACTTGCGAAAAGGATGCAATAAAAAAATGCAAGCGCTTAATCATTCTTCACAATCGGATTTGTACGTGCAATAAGCCGAGGCTATATTGAGCTGACAAGAACAAGCCCTAAAAAAAAGTCTGGAGAGAGAATTAATATTAGCTAATATTAATGATTATGAACACGAACTGCGTTGTATGATAAACGCCTCACAATGTTGTGATCTTTTCTGAAGAACAGATAATCCATGTTATTGCTGTCTCCCCAGCCAGGTTTTCATCTGCTTTTTTTTCTTCTTCTCGCTATAAACAATAAAGTATCAGCGCCAGACCAGTGGTTTAAATTACATTTTACTCTCCTGATTTCTTTTCTTTTTATTTTAAAAACATAAATGTTTAAAGTTTTGTATTGCATATATAGTTTTTAAAATTATCATTCAGCCTACCTGCAGCGCATATGAGAGGTTGTGTGCTGGGCAAATCCCCTTTACTCATGCTACCTATTTCA